TTCATAACTACCATTAATCCTTCCTTTCTAAGGTTAGTCTTTCACCTTCTTTTTATTATAAATATATTTATTTAAAAATATTTTTTATACAACTTTAGAAATAGAAGACATTTTATTTATTTGTACAAATTTCGAACAAACACATGGCTTTCAAATCATATGAAAATTGCATTGGAGTCAAAATCATTATTCTCTGAATTTTTTTATATTGCAGACTACAAATTTACTAATTTCAATCCAAATATTTTAGACTAAAATTTGACTAATTTAAAACAGTAAACAAATACTTTTAATTGACTTTGTTATGTTTAAAATCCTAATTTATATTCGTATATAATAATTTAATAAAAATAATTGTTCCAAATAGATACCTGTGATACCTCTGTTGAGTGGAATGAGGAAGTTTACCAAAACAGAAACAATCTCTTCCATGCATGATTCAGCAAATGAATCAGATAAAGGTAAGAATGTGTTCCTGATTTAATATTCTATGATTAATAATATTGATAGAATTGAATAACTATATACATACGTACATACACACACACACACCCAGAGAGAGAGAGAAACACACACATTTATAATACCTTTCTTTATACCATACCACCCTTGGAGTTATTTTCTCTAATGTGAATATCCTGCATAAAAATATTGTGAATGTGCAATTGAACCCTAATCATGTTCAACATCATTTATTGAACATGTTCTTTGGGTTCAATGGTTGTTTGAAAACTTTAATGTGTACTCTCAATAATCAGATTATTATATCTTTGAAATTAAACATTTTTTTATTTATAGATAAATATAATTCTTAAATTAATTAGATATGTTATATATTAATACTTTATTTAGATGTTAACGTCTGTTTATAGAGGATTTTCTATATAAATTTTTTTTTATAAGGGTTAGTTCAACTAGATTAGTGGACAGAAATGGAAATTACTAAAAACCTTAATCTACTTTCATATTATTACTGAACAATCATTGATTTTGATTTATATTTTTCAAATGAATTTAAACTATTTTTCATTTATAATTTCCATTTAAACTGTTTTCAATAAAAATCATTGATTTTGTTTTTTTTTTCAATTTAATCCACAACAAGTGATTCCGAAATCAATCTATAATGGCATTCTACTCTTTCAAATAACCTTATTATAATATGATTGCAGATAAACAAATACTTTTTTAAAATACTTTAAACTGAATCCAACGACGTTTTTAATCAATTTCAAACTGTAATATTTTTAAACAATTTCAGATCATATCACAGATCTATGCTTTTTTTAAAACAGATTCATAATTTCAGAGAAATAATATTCATATTAGGTTACTATCTAACATATTCGAATCAAATAGGCTTATTTAAATAATCCAATATTTTTCAAGTCAAAAAATTGAGCATATTTTTTT